GTCTTGCCTATCCAAGAACATGGAAGGTCTTTCCATTTTCCTGGTGTCCTCTATAATTTCTTTCTATCAGTTTTTTTAGTTTTCATTAAATAGTTCTTTTACATCTTTGGTTAGGTTAATTCCTAAATATTTTAATTTTTTTGAGGTTATTGTGAATGGGGTTGTTTCCTTGATTTCCCTTTCTGCTTGTACATTGTTGGTGTACAGAAAGGCAATTGATTTTTGTGGGTTAATTTCTTATTTTTTTTAATTTTTTTTATTTAAAAAATTTTTTTGGGGGGTCTGGTTGTGGGGCCTAAACTCTGGGCCTGGGCGCTGCCCCTCAGCTCTTCAGCTCAAGGCTAGTGCTCTACTACTTGAGCCATAGCGCCACTTCTGGCTTTTTTCTTTTTTGCTTATGTGGTGCTGAGGAATCGAACCCAGGGCCTCTTGCATGCAAGGCAAGCGCTCTACCACTGAGCCACCTTCCCAGCCCTTGTGGGTTAATTTCGTATCCTGCTACTTTGCTGAAGTGGCTTGTAAGTTCTTAAGATTTTGGGGGTTGAGTTTTTGGGGTATAGTATCATGTCATCTGCCAAAAGGGATAAATTAACAACTTCTTCCTTCCCTATACGGATCCCTTTAATGTCTTTTTCTTGCCTTATTGCTCTGGCTAAGGATTCCAGAACTATATTGAAGAGGAGTGATGAGAGTGGGCATCCTTGCTTTGTTTCTGATTTTAGGAGAATTGGTTGTAGTTTTTCCCCATTAAGCATACATAATATTGGCTATTGGTCTGTTGTATATGACTTTTATTGCTTTAAGAAATGTTCCTTCCATTCCTATTTTCTCTAAAGTTTTTAACATGAATGAATGTTGTATCTTATCAAAAGCCTTTTCTGCATCAATGGAGATAATCATGTGGTTCTTGACCTTGGTTATATTGATGTGATGGATTACACTTATTGATTTATGTTTGTTAAACCATCCCTGCATCTCTGGGATGAAGCCTACTTGGTCGTAATGTATGATTTTTTTTTTATGTGTTTCTGGATTCTGTTGGCTAGAATTTTGTTAAGGATCTTTGCATCAATGCTCATCAAAAAGATTGGTCTGTAGTTCACTTTTTTTGTTGGGTCTTTGTCTGGTTTAGGGTGAGTGTGATATTGGCATCATAGAATGAGTTTGGGATAGCTTCCTCTGTTGCTATTTCTCGGAAGAGTCTGAGGAGTATGGGTATTAGTTCTTTTTTAAAGGTCTTATAGAATTCCGTAGTGAATCCATCTGGTCCTGGGCTTTACCTTGTTGGAAGACTTCTGATTGCTTTCTCTATCTCATTGTAAGATATTGGCTTATTTAATTGATTTATTTCTTCTTGGTTCAGCTTGGGCATTTTGTAGTTCTCTAAAAATTCATCCATTTCTGCTAGGTTTTTCTTTCCTTAGTGAGTATAATTTCTGGAAATAATTTTTTTTTTGGGTGGGGGGGTCTGGTCATGGAGCCTGAACTCTGGGCCTGGGCGCTGTCCCTCAGCTCTTCAGCTCAAGGCTAACACTCTACCACTTGAGCCACAGCGCCACTTCTGGCTTTTTCTTTTTGCTTATGTGGTGCTGGGGAATCGAACCCAGGGCCTCATGCATGCAAGGCAAGCACTCTACCACTGAGCCACCTTCCCAGCCCCTGGAAATAATTCTTTATAATTGTTTGGATGTCTTGAGTATTTGTTGTAATTTTTCCTGTGGCATCCCTGATCTTATTGAGTTGGGTTTCCTCTCTTCTTTTTTTGGTTAATCTTGCCAAAAGTCCATCAATTTTATTGATTATTTTTCAAAAAACCAGCCTTTTTTAAATTAATTTTTTTTTCTTAGTCTCTATCTTGTTGATTTCAGCTCTTTTTTTTTTTGGTTATTTTGCTCCGTCTAGTAACTTTAGGTTCAATTTTTTCATGCTTTTCTAGCAGTTTCAATTGCAGCATGAGATTATTTACTTGGTCTGACTCTATTTTCTTGATGTGTGCACTCAGAGCAATAAATTTTCCCCTCAGGACTGCTTTTTCCATGTCCCACAGGTTTCTTGGTAATGTATATTCATTTTCATTGAATTGTAGGAACTTTTAATTTCTTCTATTACCCAGGTGTTGCTCAGAAGTGTGCTGTTCAATTTCCATGTATATGAGTAATTTCTACGGAATGCTTTGTTATTGAGAACTAGCTTGATTCCACTGTGGTCGGATTGGATACACAGGGGATTATGTCAGTCCCCTTGTATTTCCTTATATGAACTATGATATGGTCTATTTTGGAGAAAGTTCCATGAGCAGCTGAGAAGAACGTGTACTGTGTCATTTTCAGGTGGAAAACTTGGTAGATGTCAATTAGTTCTGCTTGATATATGGCCTTAATTTGGTGGCTTCTTTGCCAATCCTCTTGTTGGTAGACCTGTCCTTTGGTGAGAGTGGGGTATTAAAAATCTCCCAGTATTATAGTATTTGGATCTATTTTATTCTTTAAGAGTATTTGCTTAACTGCAGGAGTTGGGGAGGTGGGGAGGAAAGGGATGGTAGGGGAAAAACAAAGGCGGGGGTAACAGTGCTCAATAGGAAATGGACTCATTTCCTTGCTCATGTAACTGTAACCCCTCTGTACAGTATCTTTACAATAAAAATATATATTTAAAATTTTAAAGTGCAGTTTTGTTAACTGTAAACATTATTACTCTCCAGTTTGATGTCTTGAGAATAGTTTATAATCTGTCAGCTACTTTACAGTGACATTAAAATAGAAATAAAGTATATAATTGATTCTCATTTTTCTTAGCAGTTATGTTTTATAAAGTCACTACGAACAATGAATTAGTGAATACCAAATTGTTGTTGCAGGAGAGATGCAGATTTAGTTTCTCTGAGCCATTGGTCATATTAACTGATCAAAACACACCTAGGTCCCTTATTTAATACATATTATTGATTTCATCAACAGTGAACTTATAGCCAGTAGCACTGTGAGGAACTCAGGTATAAGCAAAGGTAAAAGCAGACGTATATTTTCTCAGTAAGGTATTCTTGCACTTAGAAACACTAAACTGAAGCATTGTACCTAAGAATCATTTGAACAAAATTTTGCTAATTCAGAGCACAAAAATATGAGTTGAGGTAATGGCTCAAGTAGCAGAGCGCCTGCCTAGCAAGTGTAAGGGCTTAAGTTCACCGCCCACTACCACAAAGCAAAACAAAAATATGCAAAAATGTGAAAAATATACAAAGTAGACTGTGGTAGGAACACTTCCATACAGTAATGAGAGCTAAAGCAAGAAGGCATAGTTGTACTTTGTGTGGCCTCAGCTGGGAATTTATTTATTTTCATGGTGCTTGTGTTTGAAGTCAGGTCATTGTGCTTGTGCAAATGCTTTACTTGAGTCACACTCTTAGTGCTTTTTGCTTTGCCTTTCAGATAGGGTCTCTAGTTTTGCATGGGCTGGCCTCAGACTGCAGTCTTCCTACTTCTGTTTTCTGAGTAGCTGGAATTACAGGCGTGTGCCATCATGCCCAGCTTATATTTTGAGATAGGGTTTTGGGGTTTGTTTGTTTTTTAATTTTTTTTATTGTGAAAATACCGTATAGAGGAGTTTGTTTTTGTTTTTATTTTTAACTTTTTACCTCAGCTTGTCTTAAACTGTGATCCTTCTATCTCAGTTGTGACCCACCATGATCAGCCTAAGCATATAGATTTAGGTATATAAATAGTACTCAGTGAATTTGCAAATACATAATTCAAGAACATGAAGATTAACCATAAATATAATTATTGTTCTTATGTCTTCAATAACCAACCATTTCTCCATTTCTCTTTTGTAAGCATTTTATCCTTTTCTATTTTGTATCTGTACATAGTTTACAACTTCAGACAGATACAATATGTGAAGAGATTTAAGGATTAATTGTGTCTTGGATTTCAGGCTATTTAGTTTAGATGTTTTAGTTAATTATGATCTCTATTGCTGTCCTGTTTATTTTATTTATTTATTTATTTTTTGGTCCAGTTGTGGGGCCTGAACTCTGGGTGTGGGTGCTGTCCCTCAGCTCTTCAGCTCAAGGCTAGCGCTCTACCACTTGAGCCACAGCGCCACTTGCGGCTTTTTTTCTTTTTGCTTATGTGGTGCTGAGGAATCGAACCCAGGGCCTCAAGCATGCAAGGCAAGCGCTCTACCGCTGAGCCACCTTCCCAGCCCTGTCCTGTTTATTTTAGGTGCTAATAATTCTTAATCTGAATTTAACTTGAGGGCTGTCATTGTTATTTGTATCAAGACCCAAAGAAAGGTCTTAAGCTTTCTTAACTGTGTGTATAAAAATTATCTAAACTCTGTGTTGTTTCACAGCTTTTGGCTCCTGAGGATTTTAAGTTCTTTGAGTTCCTAAAAATTCATCTTAAGTAGTAACATCATTTATTTTTCCATAACTTTTTTCCTTACTGATTTAACCCTCTCTACATTTATTATAGAAATTTAATCTTAATGTTTAGTAATTTCAAGTTTAAATGAATTCAATTCATGAGAACTACCTCCTCTTCTTGGTTATGGTATCTAAATTCTAAGGCAGTGAGTTGACATTATGATCTGGTTAGTGATTGGCATGTCAGTCTTGAGGCCCTCTGGGACCTCTGTTCCCCACTCATCCTTCACACTATCCTAATGCCCATCTGGAGTGAGAGCTGACTCTTGGACCATTTAGTCTGTGTAACCAAATTGGCTTGGGGTAGTAAGAATCTTTGTATCAGAAATTTGCTATGAGAAATAAATAGGCTTTGCATATTACACACATCCCTGAACATGTCTTTTGGAAAGTATTTAAATGTATTACAATACTATAATTATTTTCTATTTGTAATGATTACTTAAATGTATCTTTTTGACTAGTTCATAAAGTTTTTATTTTAAACGGAAATATTTAGAAGTTGATTGTTTTCTGCTTTATATATGTGAGAATATATATGTGATATTCCAATAATACTTTTTATATGTTACAGGGGCTAAGGAATAAACCAAAGAAAACAGCACATGTGAAACCAGACCTCATAGATGTTGATCTTGTAAGAGGTGAGTCTTAGATACTTGGATGTTTTTTCTAATTTTTTTTTGAGCTTGAACTCACGGCCTGGGCACTGTCCCTGAGCTTTTTTGCTCAAAATTAGTGCTCTACCACTAGAGCCACAGTTCCACTTCCCCACTTTTTGCTGGCTAGTTAGAGATAACAGTATCACAGACTTTCCTGCCCATTGATTTGCACTGCAATCCTCAGATCTCAAGCCTTCTGAGTAGCTATGATTACAGGCGTGAGCCACCAGCACCTGTCTGAGATACATTGATTTGGAGGAAACAAGTCAAAATAGTTCACATCTGAACATTTGTGAGGTGAAATTTTACAGTGTGAGTCTTAATGAAGATAGGAATAGTATAAACAAGAATGGAAGCATTTAAATACTATTTAGTAGTCCTTTCTCCCTCTGAAGATGACAACAAGAAATTAGCTGTAGATAATTTAGTTACCTTTAGCACTGCTGTTAAACAATAGCAATTCATGTTTGCTTAGCAAACTATAGGACCTTATTATACAACCTCAAATGGTAATGGGCTAGAGGCATAGCTCAGTGGTAATTACCTGCCTAGCAAGCTCAAGGGCTTAAGTTCAAACCCCAGAAGTATCATTTTAGAAATGAAACTAAAATGTTTTTAACCTGTTATTTCTGATTGGAATTGACATTTGAATACAATTCTGCTAGGCTTATTAAATAAGTGGGGAAATACTTTTATTTCAAGCAATAATCTTTTCAAGTACCTGATTTAATATGACAGGATGAAGACTTATTTTAAAAAATGATTACCACCTCAAATTGGAAGTCTTCACTCATAGCATTAGTACAAAATCAAATAATATACATGCTATTGTTTTTCAAACACTGAATTTTTTTTCTGTAAAGAAATTAAGAATAATGAGTGGAGTCTGCTGTTGTCTTTACTTTTCCTCAGGGTCTGCATTCGCCAAGGCAAAGCCTGAAAGTCCTTGGACTTCTTTGACTAGAAAGGGAATTGTTCGAGTTGTGTTTTTTCCTTTTTTCTTCCGGTGGTGGTTACAAGTAACATCGAAGGTCATCTTTTTCTGGCTTCTTGTCCTTTACCTTCTTCAAGGTATAAATAAAAGATGGAAATGAAGTTTGCTTTTAACTTTCAAGATGTTATATTTTTAGGTTTCCCAAGTTATATGTATTAAGTTATATATGTTATTAAAGCATGTTCTAACTGTACTATTGAGTGTCAAATGTGAGTATGATAGTGAGACAAAACAGTATACTTGGTATTAAAAATATCAGAATTTTTCAACATAATAAAAAAACATAGATGTGTGGATAACTAAAACAAATAGAAATTCATATGACTAAAAATTTTGACCCCTGAACCACATTCTCACAGCTTTGTTAGGCTGCCTCTCAACAAAACAGCACACCAGTGAAGTCTTAGTAACAGTACACATGATACTACAACACTAGAGAGCTTCTGAGACCAAAGAAGAAACAACCTTCATCTCATTACACTTAAAAAGCAATTCTTTGGGGCTGGGAAGGTGGCTCAGTGGTAGAGCGCTTGCCTTGCATGCCTGAGGCCCTGGGTTCAATTCCTCAGCACCACATAAGCAAAAAGAAAAAAGCTGGAAGTGGCGATGTGGCTCAAGTGGTAGAGCGCCCAGAGTTCAAGCCCCACGACCGGACCCAAAAACAAACAAACAACAACAACAAAAGCAATTCTTTTTTATTTGTTTGGTGCTCTTTAAGTCTTTTTAATGTGTTGCTTTAAAAAAAACTGATTTCTAAATGATTAGTTACGTATGTTTCCTCAACAGACCCTCTATGTAAGAAATATCTTTAAGTAAATGAAAATATAATAAAGATTAAATACCTTAAAGTTGTTTCTTCTTAGCCAGTGTACATCTTATATGTATAAAACAGAATAGAAGGGGCTGGGAAGGTGGCTCAGTACTAGAGTGCTTGCCTTGCATGCATGAAGCCCTGGGTTTGATTCCTCAGCACCACATAAGCAGAAAAAGCTGGAAGTGGCACTGTGGCTCAAGTGGTAGAGTGCTAGCCTTGTGCTGAGGGACAGTGCACAGGCCCAGAGTTCAGGCCCCATGACCAACAACAACAATAACAAACTGGAAGAGCTGGGAAGGTGGCTCAGTGGTAGAGCACTTGCCTTGCATGCCTGAGGCCCTGGGTTTGATTCCTCAGCTCCACATAAGCAAAAAGAAAAAAAGCCGAAGTGGCGCTGTGGCTCAGGTGGTAGAGTACTAGCCTTGAGCTGAAGAGCTGAGGGACAGCACCCAGACCCAGAGTTCAGGCTCCATGATCGGACCCCCCTCTCCCCCAAAAAAAGAACAACAAACTGGAATGGACTGAAGATTTTATGATTGTGATTGTATGATTATGCTTATGTGAAATGTATGTTGGATTTTTTTTTAACCATGGTGGGGATTGAACTGGAGGCCTTGTGAATGCTAGATTTGTGCTCTACCACTGTGCTACAACTCAGCCATATTTTCTCTGATTAAATATAATGATATATTTTTGTGGTAGAAAATTTAGAAAGTATAAGCTAAAATAAGTATAAGCTGAATAAAAAAAGAACCAAACTTTTCTTACATTTTCAGTTTACTTTCAGAAACTTTATATTGTTGAGTAATTTTATGTGACTATATTATTTTTGGCTAATACTGTAATTAGTGTTACATGTATCAAGATACATGTAATATTAACTTATTAGAAAATATCTCATTGTATATCCATATTGGCCATTTAAGTTGTTCACTGACTTTGATTATTGTGGATATTGTTGAAGTGACCATATTCAGATTTTTTCTGACATTTTGAATTGTTTTCTTATGATAGATTCTTAAAATATATGAAATAAAGTATATTACAAACTTCACGGTTATTTTGGAAAAGTTACTTTATTGTTAATTTCATGAAAGTTATAAAATTTTATTGAATATTTTCTAACTACAGTGTTTTTGTTAAGTTAAATATTTTTTTTTGAGGGGGGATCCCGTTGTGGGGCCTGAACTCTGGGCCTGAGGGCTGTCCCTCAGCTCTTCAGCTCAAGGCTAGTGTTCTACCACTTGAGCCACAGCGCCGCTTCTGGCTTTTTTCTTTTTGCTTATGTGGTGCTGAGGAATTGAACCCAGGGCCTCATGCATGTAAGGCAAACACTCTACCACTGAGCCACCTTCCCAGTCCCAAGTTAAATATTTTTAAAGTAAATATTTAATGTGTTTTATAGCTGTAGGCATTTCTTCAAAATATTTGCATTATATAGCAGCATTACAGTGATTCTACTTAACAAAATTAACAAAAACCTCATCATACTTAAATTAACTATTTGTTCCAAAGTAGAATTAGATATTCCTAGACTTTCGATTTAGGCATGGATGGAAATTGAGGCTCAAGTGCTATCTTTACTTTTCTCTGTTGATTCTTCTTTCTTTGCTGGTTGTATTCTTAGGCTGGCTCTTTCTGGGTAGTGGCTGAGGTGGCCTCTGGCAGTTTCCTATTTCCACAGTCCTTAGTATTTGTGATCTAGGAGAATGGCATTCTTTGAGACTTAAATTATTTCTAAAGTTTCTGATTGACCCTGCTTTGATCATATGCCTATGTTTTTAATAACTCATGTTGAGTTATACAAACTGGTGAGCTTAGATTACATTATATGTCCATGTCTGAAGTTGGAGAAATAAAACTGTTTCACTGACAAGTAAAAGAAGAAGGCTTCCAAAAGTCTAAAAAGGATTTTATATTCAGAAAGTTTAAGGGATGCAGGATCGGTAAATCAACCTTTCCCAGGTAAAAGAAGAAATCTTCTAAAAATGTAAAGAGAGATTATATCCAGAGAGTTTAAGGGATACAGGGTAGATAGAAACAACCTTTCCCTTTCATGTGATAATGGTTAGCTTTGATGAATACAATAATTTCCTTGGAAAATGTAGCCAAGTAAATTTATGTTAATCTTGAACATATAGACCTCTGTTCACAAGCTTTCTGTATAAATTTATTCTTGGCACAAATTTTCCTTGTTTGTCAAACAAAGATATAAATGTTCTTAAAGTTAGTGTGGTTTGTTTGATTGAGATCTAAGCAAAATTATCCTTAGCTGTGAATGGTTTTATCCCAGTGTTGAGTTTATTTTAAAGACTATATTGACTACTATGTTGTTCCAAGAGAGTGTTACTAAATACTGCGATTAGACTGTAGCAAACACAATAGTGTTTAAAGAGCTCAAGTAGAGTGGCATTTTAAAATCATTTAAATTTAGAAAAAGGAATCTGGTAAGAGGTAATGTAAAAAAAAGTTTTAAAGTTGTGAAGAAGCGACTCTCAGGTCTGTAATTGAATGTATTTTCTTTTCCTTTTTGTAGTTGCTGCAATAGTATTATTCTGTTCCACTTCTAGCCCACATAGCATACCTCTGACAGAAGTCATTGGGCCAATATGGCTGATGCTGCTTTTGGGAACTGTGCATTGCCAGATTGTTTCAACAAGAACACCCAAACCTCCTCTAAGCACAGTCGGTAAAAGAAGAAGGTACTGTCTGTCAAAAAGTGGTGTTTTGAATCCAGGATTCTTTTGACTGCTCTTCCCTTCATAGACTAAAATATTATAAAGTTATTCTTTTAAATAAAGCACTGAGTTCCACAATCAGTTAACAAACTTTTTTATTCTCTTTTTTAAAAAAGTTATTTATTGTAAAGGTGATGAACAGGGGGGTTCCAGTTACATTAAGTAAGGTAATGAGTACATTTCTTTTTGAACAGTTACCCCTCCCTCATTTTCTCCTGTTTCCCCTCCCCTTTCCTCAAGTTTTAAAGTTGATTTCCAACATGGTATCTAGTGAGTATCATTATTGCATTAGTTCGTCCTTTGTCCTGCTGTTTCTGTGATTCCCTTTCCCTTCCACGGATCAGATAAACTTATATAGAAGACAAAGGTACAGAAAATTTTAAAGAAAAAAATTGAAATAACTGCAAGCAGAATATAATACAAACCTCTTCCAATTCTTGGAGTTCACTTTGATACACTTCATTATATATGGTATGCTCTTAGCAATTAGGTTATTGTGATCCTCTGCTAATACTATCATAGACCTATTCTAATTATTACAAATGAAGGAAACCATGCAACTTACATTTCTTTGGGTCTGGCTTGCTTCACTTAATATAATTTTTTCCAGGTCTTTCCATTTTCTTACAAAGGGGGCAATGTCATAGAACTCTGTATATAGATAGATAGATAGATAGATAGATAGATAGATAGATAGATAGATAGATAGATAGATAGATAATTTTCTTGATCCATTCATCTACCGAGGGGCATCTGGGTTGTATAGAAAGTTCACAGATTGGGAGAAGATCTTCACTAGCAACAGACAAGGGTCTCATACCTAAAATACTCTTAGAGCTCAAAAAATTAAATCCCCAACAAATCCTCAATGAAACGAGTACCCCATTAACAAGTAGGCTAAACACTTAAACTTCTCTGAGGAGGAAAAAAGAATGACCAATAGACACATGAAGAAATGTTCAACATTTCTGGCTATAAAAGAAATGCTAATCAAAAAAAATTGAGATTCCACCTCACTCTAGTTAGAATGGCCATTATCAAAAAAAATCTAATAATAGATGCTGATGGGGATGTGGCCAAATGGGAATGCTACTACACTGTTGGTGAGAGTGTAAACTTGTTCAACCACTCTGGAAAGCAGTATGGAAGTTCCTCAAAAGACTAGACATAGAGCTCCCCTATGACCCAGCAATCACACTTCTGGGCAATTTACCCAAATGACCACAAACAAGGCCATAGTGAAGCTACTAGCACAACCATATTCATTGCAGCATTATTTTCTGTATTTGCTTCAAGACTATTTTGAGACCATATAGCTATAACTTTTTTCTGTTTTTTCTTTTTAAAACTGATACATAGTATCTGTGTAGAGAATTATGTTAGCTGTAATTGCTAATAGTGCTTACTAATATAATCTTGTATTCTATGATGCCTTGGTAAAAGTAAAAGCCCAAATGTAAAAACAAAAAAAAGTTAAAAAATGTAAAATCCAACTGATCTTTATTTATTTGATGCTATCTATATGTAGCTATTTGTAGCAGGTCTCAGTGGCCACTAAACACAATGGAATTCTGTTTAAAGGGTCTTTTGGAACTACTCTCTTTTGCATACTGCTAAGAGATTATGACATTTTCAGTTTTGCAATTTTGATATTTAAAATGAGTAGTTTTTGCTTATCAATTAGGCAATAATTTTCTCCAATCAACTGTACATAGTGACATTCAAATAAGGAAGAAATCCTTTTGTATTTATATGTGTTTGGTAGGATTCGTTTAATTTTCTGTCCTTTGACCTGTTAGTATGAGCAGTGATCAGGACCTTATTAATCAGAAATTGGTCTTGAATATACATGATAATGTTTGAATTAAAATACGTGCAATAAATTTGAGCTTTATTTTGTATTAAATTTCTTATTTTTATGATTTGCAAAATTCTGAGTGTACTACCAAGAAAATAGTTATTAAAGTTTTAAAGCTTTTTCTACTTTAATCTTTTTTTGATCAAGGAAATTAAGAAAAGCAGCCCATTTGGAAGTCCATAGGGAAGGAGATGGTTCTAGTACCACAGATAACACCCAGGAGGAAGCAGTTCAGAGTCACAGTACAAGCACCCCTTACACTGTTGGTGCTGTCTTCAGAGATCTCTGGCATGCTGCTTTCTTTTTATCAGGGTTTGTATTTACTTATGACTTCATATGATATAGAGATGCACTCTTCTTTCTCTGGCATTTCAGTCTAAGATAATGAATATTTAATGATTAAAATATCATAGCCATAGTATGTATGAGTTTTGTTTTGACAAACGATAATGATCCAGATAATGGAGAAATAGAGACTGTAAAGATCATTTTAGGTTATGTGTAAGTATATCTGTATCTGAATGAGTATATGCTAGCAAAATATAGTTAAGATTTCTTAATTTTGTTTTCTTTTTTATTTCTAAGTACTAATTTATTTTGGTTGAGTAGTTCATTTGCTTTTTTTGAGCATATAGGTGGAAATTATTTTTAATATGTCATGTGAATTGTATTAAATGATTTTCCTCTAAGTCTCTTCGTTAGTTATCCAATTGTAGTTTAGGATTTTGTACACTAAACTCTCTTACATTTATTTCCTGATATTTCTTTTTTTTTGGTCCAGTTGTGGGGCCTGAACTCTGGGCCTGAGCACAGCTCAAGGCTAGTGCCCTACCACTTGAGCCACAGCACCACTTCCAGCTTTTTTCTTTTCTGCTTATGTGGTGCTGAGGAATCAAACCCAGGGCCTCATGCATGCAAGCAAGCGCTCTACCACTGAGCCACCTTCCCAGCCCCTATTTCCTGATATTTCAGTAGGGGAATAAACTTCAAAAATAAACCTAATTCAGCCATATATTATTATTACCTTGAATACTTATTTCAAAATATTTAAAGTTATATTAGTAGTTTACCTATACAAATAATAAAACTGGAAAACCATTAAAAAGTTATCAAAATACTAAATGTAACTGATGGTGCTAAATTAAGAAAAGAGATACTGCAGATAACTATTTTCTATCACTTCACTATTTTGCTGATATTGTTTAATCAATTTGTAGTTGTGCTGTTATGATAAGGTTTATCATGCTTTATACAAATTTACCAGAGAATGTGTATATGTATATATATGTATGCTAAATATATGTATGTGTATATATGTATGGTAAAAGTAAAATGTATTTGGATAGAGAATGGAATAAGATTAAAACAGTATTACAACTATGCTGGTAATTACCAAGATGGTTTTTTTAAGTTTCAAAACATTATTATAATAAAATGCACAATTTTTTTTTTTGCCAAGCTTGGGGCTTGAACTCGGCCTGAGCACTGTCCATGACAGTGCTTGAGCTTTTGTGTTTAAAGTTATCACTCTACCACTTCAGCCACAGTGCCACTTGTGGCTTTTTCTGTTTATGTGGTACTGAGGAATGGAACCCAGTGCTTCATGCATACTAGGCAAGCAATCTACCACTAAGCCATATTCCCAGCCCAAATTTGCAAAATTTTTATCTTAGACTAGATGATTTTGACTCAGAATAAGTTAGGGCATGTTTTTTAGAATTCAGAACCTGAAGAGTGACATTGATCAAGATGCATTGTACTCAAAAATTGGTATATTGAATTGATGCTTCTTTGTACAGCTACTTAAAGATAAAAATATTTTAAGACATTATATAATAAGCTGAACTCGGTCTTGATTTGTATGTTTATTTTATCTATTATAGTTCTAAATTATTTGTTGTAAAACTGAGTGGCCACTAAAAATTTGAGAAATAACTACTTAATGTAATTATGAAAAGATCATAATTTCTGTAAGTATCCTATTCAAAATAAGCTGAGATACTTCCACATACTTTTTAGGTCAAAGAAAGCAAAGAGTTCAATTGATAAATCAACTGAGACTGACAATGGCTATGTATCCCTTGATGGGAAAAAGACTGTTAAAAGCAGTGAAGATGGAATACAAAACCATGAACCTCAGTGTGAAACTGTTAAGCCAGAAGAGACAGCCTGGATCACAGGAACTTCTAGGAATATTCCCAGCAAAGTAGGTACCATTTTAAAATTTGGTTTATGTGGTTTTACATTAGTAATGTGAGGTGACTTAGATGTTACAGATGTCCTTGAAGTTTTCTCTAGAAATTGAAAGCTTTTATATAATCCACTTATATTCAAACTTTTACCTTCAATTAAGTCCAGATCTATGAAATAGTTACCAACATGATTACAAAGAATTCTTATATACTGTACAACAATGTTAATAAGGCTTAAAATCAGATAAATATTCTGATTAATTGATTGCAAGTACAAGTTGGTACCTTCTAAATTGATTGATAGCTGAAATTATTCAAACATGTTAAAGTATTTATTGTATACTGTATAGTTAGCATTTGTTGAATCTTATAGTTTCATCCCATATTTCTATATGAGTAATAATTTGGATTAAGCTGAAATATCAGTTGTTCTAGTAGTTAGACTAGAACACAGACTTCATGTAGCCTATCAGAAAATATCTTGTTTTTCCTACATTTATTGCGCTTGGCTCAACACAAGTGTTTTGTTTTATAATTGATATAAAATTCTTCTTTAGAATACATTTTTATTTAATTGGCACATAGGAATTATATATATTCATGATATACAGTTTGGCCTTTGAATGCATGCATATATATATACACCTACATATATATATATGTATGCATATATATTTATGTATACATTTATTTACACACACATATGTACATAAATATATATAGAGAGAGAGATAGTGAGCTTGCAGTGATCAGATCAGGGTATGACATCTATCACCTCAGACATTCATCATTTTTTATTTCCTAATGAGAATTATTTAGTTAATTGTTTTTAACCATAGTAACTTTTGTGTATATGCCATTACTCAGGTCCTCTTGCTCTCATTTGGCTTTCTTGCTCTAGTTGACACTTTACCACTTGAGTCACTCTTCCAGTTTGGCATTTTGCTGGTTAATAAGAGATGGCATTATAGACTCCATAGCTTTGAACCACAATTCTTTTATCTCTGCCTGAGTGTCTCAGATTACAGTGTGAGCTACTGGTACCAACTAGCCATGATTATTGTATTATGCTATAGAAAATTAGAATTTTTTTCTCTAATCCAGCTGTTCAGACTGAATAGTGCTGCAACTAATATGCAGATGCAGATATTTACTTGATATACTGACTTTATATTCTTTCTATGCATACATATGTGTATATATATGTTGCTTATATATACATCTTGTGTGTGTGTATATATATGTATATGTATATTTCCATATTCAGTAGTAGGAATGCTAGATCATATGGCAATTCTACATTGCTTTTTGAAGATATATACTGTTCTATAATGACCCTGTTAATTTACATTTCTCCCAACACTATATAAGAAAGCCCCTTTTCCACATTTATACCACCATTTGTCATTTTTTGTCATTTTGAAAATAAAATGAGATTATACTTCATTGTGGTTTCATTAGTGTTTCCCTGATAGTGATAATGAAAATTTTTTTCATGTAGTCACGTATTTCTTTTCTTTCTGTATCTTCTTCTGAGGAAAAAATACTTCAGGGAATTCTCAATTGGATTATTTGGTTTTATTGCTGTTTTGGGGTTTTTTTTTTTTAGTTCCTCATATATTCTGGATATTAGCTTGTGTTAAATGAGTACTTTGCAAATATTTTTTCAAATTCTACAATTTGTTCTTAATTCTATTTCCTCTGATGTGCAGAAACTTTTTAGTTTGATACAGTTCTCTTTGTCAAGTTTTGCCAGTTTTATTGCCTGCGCTTTGAGATTAAAATAAACACTTAACCCATATGACATTCTAAAGTATGTTCTCTTTTTTTCTTAGATGTTATATAGTTTAGTAGGGGTGTGTGTGTGTGTGTGTGTGTGTGTGTGTGTGTGTGTGTGTGTGTTTGCCAGTCCTGGGGCTCGAATTCAGGGCCTGGGCACTTTCCCCTGAGCTTCATTGTGCTCAAGGCTAGCACTCTACCACTTGAGCCACAGCACCACTTCCAGCTTTTTTGGGTTGTTTATTGGAAATGAGAATCTCACAGAGCCTTTTCTGCCCAGGTTGGCTTTGTGTTTAGTAGTTTTATACTTTGTTATGGTAATGGGCTTTGAACTTAGGGCTTCAAACTCTTGCGTGGCTTGATTGCACAGCTGCACAGCTGGCTCCCTACTACTTGAGCCATGCCTCCAGTTTGGCATTTTGCTGGTTGATTTAAGATAGATTTTCTTGGGCTTTTCTGCTGGGGCTGGCTTTGAACCTTGATTCTTTGGATTTCAGCCTCCTGTGTAGCTAGGATTATAAGCATGAGCCAGTAGCACTGGCTAGTTCTAAAGTTTTGAATCTTATATTTAAGCTCTTGATATTTTCAGTTGATTTTTTATATATGATAAGCGGAGTCTAATTTCATTTGGCTATCTAGTTTTTCCAAAATCTAAATTTATTAGGGAGACTTTTTTTTCTTTAATGTATGATTCTGAATCTTCATAGTTCCCTATAGATTTTTAGAAGTGATTTTTCTAGTTGTATGGAGAATGTCTGGTATTTTGACAGGGAAATTGAATTGAATCTACAGTTGACTCAGAGTGATATGGATATCAGAAACTTGTAGTTTTCTGATGCTGTTTATATCTAGTTTTATTTCATTGTGGTCAGATAACATACATGTCATAACATCATTTAAAAATTTTTGTTGAGATTAGTTTTGTGGCCTAACATATGTTGTGTTTTTTTTTGGGGGGGTCCAGTCATGGGGCCTAAACTCTGGGCCTGGGCGCTGTCCCTCAGCTCTTCAGCTCAAGGCTAGCGCTCTACCACTTGAGCCACAGCGCCACTTCTGGCTTTTTTCATTTTGCTTATGTGGTGCTGAGGAATCAAACCCAGGGCCTCAGGCATGCAAGGCAAGCGCTCTACCACTGAGCCATCTTCCCAGCCCCCATATGTTGTGTTTTAAAGAATGTTCTATGTGCTGATGAGATATGTACTCTGTGTATGCTAGATGAAATAGTCTATAAATTTCTCTTTTTTAGTGGTATAGTACAGATCTTATTTATTTATTTATTATTTAATAGCTCACTTTTTGGGTGGGGGGAGTCCGGTCATGGGGCCTGAACTCTGGGCCGGGTGCTATCCCTCAGCTCTTTAGCTCAAGGCTAGCGCTCTACCACTTGAGCCACCACGCCACTTCCGGCTTTTTTTCTTTTTGCTTATGTGGTGCTGAGGAATGGAACCCAGGGCCTGATGCATGCAAGGCAAGCGCTCTACCACTGAGCTACCTTCCCAGCCCCTCTCTTATATTTCTTATGTGGTAATATGTCTGTTACTAAAAGTGGAGTGCAGAGGTCTCCAGGTGCTACTGTTTTAAAAATCCATATTAAATAATCAGTGCTTTGTAGAAGCATTAAGCTTCCTTGTTCTTTTTATTGGTCTGTGTCCCTTCATTAACATTTGTTATCTGGTGAGTCTGTTGCCAGTTTTATAAGGTGGCTTTTATAATAAAAATCTTTCACCTTGTGTGGATGTTAGTTGGATAAGCTGTGTTTATTCTGGTTTCAGGTGTGTGTTTTCATGTAGTGTCTATGCAGCTATAGTAAACATCATCAGTGGTTGGAAGTACTCAGATAAAGTCCCTATCAATGTGTTTGAACCCATATAAGCTTTTCAGTCTCTTGAGGGCTGTGGATGGCTTTGATGGGCCTCTAGGAACTGACCTGTTCATGGCAGGCTACCTGGCACCTTCCTGTTGATGTTACATAGATGGGCAGGATTTCCTACCTGCTTCCCAAAGCTGGAGGGTAGGCAGAATTGTGTAGCTGCTTCCTGAGAGCCTTGATGGACTGAGCTGCACAATGCTGGTTGTTGTCTGTTGCCTCTCGGAGCCTGAGGATGTGTGGCTTAAAATACACAGCTGTTTTGGGGACAGTAGGAATGTGCACAGGAAGATCTAAATGCATTCTGGGACTATAGGAGTGTGAACAAAATCTCAAAATGAAGCTGTGTAGCAAGAACCTGGGTGCTAGGCTTTGGGGATCACACATGAGCTAGCCTTTTTTTTCTCAGGCAATGTAGCCTGAGATGTACCCTTCTCTCTTTGACCTTGATTCAGTGCCTTTGAAGGCTGAAGGCCTCTCCAGAAGCAAATGCTTTAGGTATTTGAGGTTTGATTAGAGACTTCTCAGGGTATGCTTTTTCCTATATAGTCCCTCTTGGTTCAGAGTTTATCTTGAGAGACAAGAGGGTAGGAGCTCTGTGTTTAGTTCTCTTTTTTATAAAGTCATGGGTTAGCTCTATGCTCTGTATTTTTTCTGCCATACTTTTGCTGTACTCTAAAACTCTGTCTCAAACACTCCAGGGAAAACACTGTTGTTTGTTTCTTTGTCTTGATTCTTCTTTCTGAAGGGCCATCTTGCTCAAGAAACATTATTAGTGATGTTGCTCTGGAGAAAGAAAAATAAACTTATATTAAGGACATATTTGTGAATGATAACTTTCAAATTATTTTATAAACAAAAATGTTGTATAAAAGTATTTCACAAATGGCTGAACTGCATTTAAATGCAAATTTTATATTCAAGAATGTAGTCATTCAAGACAGCTAAAAAGCAGAGTCCTATGTTCTTATTTTTCTTAGAGCACAAGCCGGGGGGATGGGGAAGAAGGAGAGAGAGAGAGAGAATCAGAGGATAAGGACATGGTATAGGTGAAGAGAGAAGACAGAGGCTGGCTGTCCTGTGTGACACAGTGACAGTGAAGGTTCCTCTGTAGGCTTCTCTGGTCCCTGACAGTACCTGGGACAAGTATTGACCACCAGATGGTGGAACCCAGTTCTAGGGACCCAGACACCACTGGCCTTAGCACATATTGCCAGCCATTACCACAACAGCCTACTGACATCAGTGGGGACCACCTTGCTGGGTCCAAGCCGCACATCTCCTGATGACACAGCCGTCACCCCACCAGCCCTACCTGGAGCACTTGCCCCAGGCCCCCAACATGTGTCCCCAGAGGCAGTAGACCTG